GATCCGGCCTGCCAAAAACGAGCTCAATTGGGTCGAGCGCACATCAGAGCCAGGACCAAAGTTTCAAACAGGAGAGATCGATGTCCTACAGACACTCAAATAGCGGGACATCCGAGTGTCGGTCCCCGTAGGACACTTACTGACCATACTGACCATATCCAGCGCGTTCAGCGTATGCTGAAGAAAAAGAAAGAAGATGAGAGCGAGGCAAGTCCTCCCCCTGCGATCGAATCTAACGCACCTGAAACGGCGAGAATCGCCGCCATTTCTTACGCCGAGAAAGATCATTTTGTGTGTGTCCGATCGGTGCTATGGAAAAGTGTTGAATGTGACTGCGAGGTCTGGGGTAAACTATTTGATGCGTTTATTGACACTGGATCACCAACCGTAGCTATATCCCTGAACACAGTCAGAAAGGCAGGCCGACTGAACTCTATCATTTCTCTACCAGGGAAGGACAATTATGTCTCGGCCGGTGAAGAAGCCATGAATATCGTAGGAATCATTGAGAACGTCGCGGTCAAGGTAGGTTGGGCACATGTGCTGGTTAACGCATTAGTTATCGACGTACACTCTTATTCGGTGTTGTTAGGCCTGCCCTGAGCGATGGCGGTAGGAGCACGGATCCACTTCGATTCTAAACAACTCGTCCTCACCCATACGGGGGGGAAACCTCAAACACTGCCACTACGAGTCTCTACTCGATCGCCGAAGAAAAATCCCAGTATTGTCCGGATAGGAATGATCCAGATCCCGAACCTGGAAGAGTCTTTTCCCAAACAACGATGAAGAACAACACCTTGCGTGGGAAGACGAGTTCGACGAATGCGATTACAAGGAAGAACTGAGCGGTATGCCTAGTGAAAAAGAATGAGAACAATTAGTCGAAATGTTCGATTGCGAGACTAAAGAAGAATTTTGAATGATCCCCGCAACCGCTCGAATATTCGATCTGAGCTCGGAAAATAGCGAGTCGAGCCGTATTCTGTCCGCAGAAAGACGAGTCTCCCCCACGACATTCTTGTGAGAACCGATCTTGCAAATTTCAGACATAGCTGATCTCTTGGAACCCCCTCGCACGTTATACGAGGGCGCACTTTCACTCCGGGCTCACTACTCACGCGAGGAGCCATGATCGCTTTGATCAAACAAGAAGCAGAGGCTCCGATAGAGGATGTTTTGGATCTCATGCAGAAAATGACCGGGTAAAAAGGGGTGGAAATAGCAAAAAGCATCGTCGACTCTGAAACCGACGCTGAGATTAAGGCGACTGAGATGATCAGCCCGGCTGAATCCCAAATGATCGCCACCGTCTTCTCGATTCGAAGTAGTAGCTCCATGTTCTCCAGTGTGCACGACAGGCGATCACGAAAGATGGATTGGATCGAAACGCCCCTGAACATCGCGGATAACGTTGTAATTACAATACCCAGTCATGTCCCCCGAGACATCCAAAGATCCCTGATTGATGTTTTGCATGGGTATGCGGAGGTATTGAGTGTACATGACAACGATATTGGATTATCTAATGTGATTGAGCATGCGATCCTTACGGGGGATCATCCGCCGATTAGTTGTGCTCCTTATCGGTATTCGCCGGCGCAAGGAGCGGCCGCATTTAAGAGGATTAAGGAATTTGAAGAACCCGCTATCGGACCATGGTCGTTTTTGTTGGTGATTGTACTGAAAAAGGTAGGAGGAATTCGCATATGCATTGACTACCGAAAATTGAACGATATCACGATCAAGGATGTGTATCCCCTTCCCCGGATTGATGAGTTGCTGGATGCTATCGGTAGTGCTCGAATTTTCAGTAAATTTGATATTCACCATGGATTCCACCGTCTCCTTGTCAGAAAAGAAGACCGCCCGAAAACGGCGTTCATTCTTTTCGAAGGAACCTGGCAATGGGTCCGATGCCCGATGGGAATTTGCAACGCCCCAGCCACGTTTCAACACGCGATGAACATGGCCTTCCAAAACTTCGTGCGAAAAATGCGGCTAGCGCAGAGCATAATCAATTATTATGTGATTGTGTACATGGATGATATCTTTGTGTTTTCCAATACCTATGAGGGACAAGTGCAGCACATCGAATGGACCTTGCACGCACTGAAGGACGCAGGGTTCAAAGTGGCGGTTGAGAAGTGTCAGTTTTTTCTCACTAAGATCTCCTTCCTCGGCCACGTGGTTACGGACCAAGGATTGCAGCCGAAGCCTCAGAAAGTAACAACTGTGAAAGACGCGCCAGTGCCGACGTCCGTAACACAAGTGCGTGCCTTTTTGGGTTTGGCATCGTACTATCGAAGGTTCATTAAGGGGTTTGCGGCGATCGCGGGACCACTTACGAATCTGCTGAAAAAGGATCAACCGTTAATCTGGACTCCGCAGTGCGATCAGCCTTTCCGAGAACTCAAGGCGGCCTTGATTTCGGCTCTAGTCCTTATAAGATCGGACCCGGAAAAGCCCTTTGTTCTCATCGCCGATTAGCAGCCCGAGGCGGTCTCAGCGATCTTGGCCTAGGTGGGATCAGACGGCCTCGAACACGTGGTGGAATATACGTCCAAGACTGTACCGTCCTGTAAACGCAACTACTCTGCCCCGACAGGGGAATGCTACGCAGCCTTGTGGGGGATCAGTCACTTCCGAGCGTACTTATATGGTCGGAAGTTCACGCTGGTGACCGATCACGAACCACTGCTGACACTGAAGAAGTCCAAGGATTACTCGGGCATGATCGGCCGATTCGGGCGATGGGCCACCATGTTGCAGAGCATGGACTTGACATTCGTCATCGACAACACGAGAGACATGGGTCACATGGCAACGCAGACGGGCTGACACGACTCCACCGTTCCGACAAGGTACCCAAGAGTGAGGAATTGATCCCCTGGCGAGACCCGAAGCCAAAGAACGAGCCTCAATACGGACAAGTGGAGATCCTGCCGAAGGGTTAAGTGGACACGTGTACCCAACTCTGTCTCTCTTTCCCTTTCTTTTTTTTGGAACAGTGGAAACTCCCCTTGTCTCGATCTCTCCCACCTCTTCTGCTCCCCTCGCTCATTTGGACTTTCTCGCCACTCTTCCGAACAAATTTTGTTATTTTTGTACGTGTATTTCCTGAGTTTACGGGGTAGACTATTACGTCTTCGAGTCTGGATTCACTGACTGGGTAGAATGCGCCACGTGTGCCAATCGTGCACATGGCGCGTGTGTTCGATACATAACAAGTAGTAAGGAATGGAGATGCCCCCTGTGTAGGACGGACAAACTCCCTAAGGAGGTGCGATTCGAAGCTTCCCGAATGAACGGCCCTGAGTACGATGCGAAATATCGACGAGTGGAGGTATGGACGAATAAAATATTATTAGCTAAATTAGTTGGCCAACCGTTGGATCATCTCACTAAGCACGACAGGCGTCGGGCCACCGAAAGGTCCCGGCATTATCGATGGATCAACGGACATCTAGAGAAGCGTAAGACAGACGGGTCGGGACTATGGTTGACGGTTCCCCATCCTTTCCAGAGATATCACTGGACTAGGTCGGCGCACGAAGAACAGGCCGCTCATTTCGCAATACGTGTCACCGAGGCAACTATCGACCAAAATCGATGGTTCTGGTCTAATATCCGGGACGATGTGAAGCACGTGGTCGCTAACTCTTTAGTCTGTGCGGCCGATCGCGCACCCATTTGTGGACCAAATACAATAGTCCCGACAGAGGTAGAACGACCTTTTCAGTGGGTCAATATGGATATGACTGATATTGACGTGCCACGGTGCCACCTAGCCCTAACGTCTGCGAATATTTCATCCTCTTGGTGTTAATCGGCCATTTCTCGAAATATATCGAAGTCTATCCATGTAAGACCCGTAAGGCCTCAAAGATAGCCACATACATCGATCGATTCCTCAATACCCATCTAGATACAGAGGAGATTCTAACCGATAATAGATCTGAATTCAAGGCTGAGGTAGAGGAATTACTAATGTGTTGTGGCGTTACTCTCCGACACACCACTCCCTATGTTTCTCAGTCGAATGGATTGGCTGAGAATACGAATCGCATGATTAAGACCGCCCTCCGTAAGAACTTAGCGGCTCGTGACACGCGTCCGTAGCCCGAGATTGTCTATCAGATCGTCGGAATCCATCGATCTACCCCTCATGAATCCACAGGGTTCACCCCCTTCCAACTTCAAACCAATAGCCTTCCATGTGTCGATAATCAGGGTACCTTAGAAGTTGCCGACAAAGGGGGTCGGGACACGCGTGCAGCCCTTAAGGCCAAAGCCAAGCGATATGCGGATTTAATGGAAAGGGTCGTTCCTAAGCTGGCCCGGAAAAGAAAGAAAATGACCGAACTGGCCCATGGTAGAAAGGTCCGTAGCTATGAGGCCCGAAATGGGAATGCAGGCCCGCAACACCAATATAAGCTAGGGGATCTGGTGCAGGTACGCAAATGTGCACGTGACCATAAACTCGCTCCTAACTCTGGCTGTTTTCGCGTCGTAGAGCTTGGTCCCAACGGAGCCAACATGGTGCGCATCGCGCCCGAAGCCAGCGCCAGCCATAGCTCCCTTCCCATTGTCCGTCACACCTCCTACCTTCGTCCCCTCCCTCCTTCTGAGAACCTCAACCTATCTCCTTCTTCTTCCTCCAGCGCGGGCGAGGAACTCGTTTCCTTTCCTTCGTTTGCATCTACCTCCCCCTCACCTTCACCATGAGTTTTGTCATTGAGCCGGCCCTGCCACCTCAGCTTCTTCAACCTCGAACCCTACTGCAATTTCGCCAAGTCACCCAACCCCGCCTCAGTCCCTACCTTCTCCGATTTGCGCAACTCTTCAGCGACGGGGCTTGGTGCGCCGCCGTTGAGATAACTATATCAACCGATCGAGGCTCGACAGTTATCTTAGCGGAGGCGTTAGGATTTCATCGCTACTCACGACCTACTCAGAGCGACGTAACGGTAATCGTGGCTTTCAGCGGCGATCTGTGTACCATCGGCGCGCAGCGGCGCGATGCAGTAGTGACCGATCTTTTCAAGTGGGGACAGGAGTTGGCGGCTGATTGGCGGCAGCGACTGGCCCAGCCAAGGCGACAAGTAGTGGGGACTGACTGTATTGATACCTTCTCCCTGTGGACCAGCACCACTGATCGCCCTACTCGCCCGCTCCCCCATCTCCATCCCTACCCCGAGCACCGATGAATCGTTTCTCCACCTTCTCTCTCCCCTCCGACTTTTCGATCATCTCGCCATCTTGGGCCGACCCCCTTCTCACTCTGGAAATTCGTCCTGCCTCAACCCTTCCATTGAGTCCAGCTTACATCCGCAAGTGGGTCGAGTTCGCGACGGTTAGTGTGTGTATGCTCACAGTAAAGTGTCACTGGTCGCAGTATTACAGTAGTCGGGATTTGGAGCACACTCACGAGATGTCGCTGGTGCTGGCGCAGTTGTGGTCGAACGAGTCGACCACCGACGACACATTGGTAGGGCTGTTGTGCGGAGAGATCGCTAAGGGCAGGCGAGCAACGGTTGCCTACGAGCTCCTCACGTTCTTGTCTCAGCTCGTCGACGACCTACCGACGGACATCATCTCCTACAATTCGAGCGATCCGAGTCAGGCTGGACATGTGACCCTGGAAAGGAAGTTGACGCCAACCGTAATCTGGACGAACTATACGGAGGACTACGGGCAGTATCTAAGCGATCACGATCCTACGGTTTGGTGCTACCTGGACCTGGACGAACTTGCACCGGATAACTCCGACTTCGACGAGTTTTGGAAGGCGCATCGAGAGAACAGGGAGCTGTCATCGGACAACGACCTGGGTCGCATAGCCATCGCCGGGCTATCGGAGGAAGAGGAGTCGGAAGCACGGTCGACGTCAAAGGAAGAAGAAGAGGCGTTGGCACCTGATCCCCGAGAGGCTTCACCAGCACGAATGTCGCCTTCCGTCCGAGGAGGATCCGCTTTGAATCCCGTCGTTCCCTCAGATGCCGCTAGTCGGCACGATGACGCAGCAACCTCCCGCCGGCGTCGCCGCTCTCGCTCACCATCTCCCTCCGTTTCCGCCCCCTCCACGCTTCATCCCTGTCCTCCTCCCGGCCCGGACGTACCGTCCTCGTCCCGTCTTTCGCCGCCCCCTTGATTACCTCTCCTTCCGTCCCCTCTCCCACCTTGAATTCCCCCTGGACTATCGCATCTTCGCCAGCCGCGCCTTCTGTCATCATTTCCCCGCCCATCTCCTGTGCACGGTCTTCCCCCGTCGTTCCCCCTCCTTCCCTCTCAATATTCTCCTCTTCAGTGTCGCTTGGGCATGGTTCAACCATTTCCGGCACCTTCCCTGTCGTGGAGGACTACGAGTCCCTAAGGGATAATGTCCTCCGCACCATCCCCTCCTTATACCCCGATTACCTACTATCCCTGTCCTGACCCAATCATCGCTTCCCCCGCGCACACCAGATCGTCCATTTTGTTGATCTCGGTGACGAAGCGGCGGATTACTTCCCTCCGCTCACATCTGAGTTGCCCCGACCTCTCCATCATCCTCTCCTTGTCGACTACCGCCGGGCGGACTTCCAATGACGAGGTAGGGGTGCAGAGCACACGGAGAACCAACGGACGATGATGGCGTCACCTGGACAATCTCCGGCGATCGAAAAGCCAAGGGAATTCCAGCAGCTCGATCCAGCAGACTCGCGAAGATATTGCAATTGATGTTGGCGTCAACTTGAACTCTGCGCTGATGCGGACACCTTCTCTCCTGATACGCTTGGTTCCTCATTCATCCTCTCTTCCCCCTCCCTCCTCCTCCGCCATGGCCATGGCATGCAATCATGAGATCGCATAATTTTGGAACCCCCTGCGCATCACATATGTGACGAACCAGCTTCCGGAACCGGGCCATCTTTCAGACCCCTTCCCTCCCCGTATTTCCTCTGCATCTAGAGGTGTCCTGATCGGCCCCCGAGAACGCCCCCTCTTGTTTTTCTCGATTGAAGGTACCTCGTTGAAATCTGTATGTTGTCAGCACTGGTAGCTCTTGAAATTCCACCTTTTTTTTATTTGAAAATGCATGGGAAATTTGCGCGCCTTAGTGAGCGCACTCGGAATTTGGCTCGATAGTTAGGAATTCCGGAATTAAGGGAACGCGGCGTGACCTTTCACGTGCGAATGTTCTTGGCCTCGACATGGAAGACTCTGGGAATTTTGTAGGAATATGGATTAGCGTAGGACTTACTTTATTTTCCCGCGTCTACTTTTCGCGCGGATATGGTGATTTCAATTTTTGAATTAGCGTAGGGTTGGGAAAAACTGCAATTGTTTCGGTGCCCATTCTTCTTTTGTTGTTTGGCACCATGCAAACGAGATCCCTCCTCCTTCCTTCTTGCGCCCTCTCAGCGCCTTCCCTCGCGTGCACATGCTTTTTCGCTCTCTCCCCCTCAGCCCCTGTAACTGTTTTTCTCTCTCCTTCCCCGCGCGCGCCCTTTTTCTCTTTCTTGATCATCTGAATCTTGGACCCATTTCGCGCTATCCTTCGCACTCCTCTTCTTCCCGTTCTAAGACCCGCGCTCGAAAAACCCGGTCGATCCTCTCTTCCCATCTTAGACTAGCTAACATGCCCAAACCGAGATAGCCTAACGTAAGATACTGGTCGAGGCCCGAGGGGGATGAGATTTGCTGCTTCGTCTATGACCGTTGTGTCGGTCATCATCCCATCTGTTTCCTCTACCATCGTTCCGACTCGTCCAGATCCATTAGCTATAGGTGCAGCTGCCATAGAGGCTGCTCCTACCCGAGCTTGTGGAGCTCGGTTGGGGCAATCCCGTGCTATGTGTCCTGGTTGATGGCAGGTATATCATCCATCGGGTCTAATGGCAAGAGCTATCATGGATCCTCCGACTGCTTGGGCAAGTTGGCTTCCGCAAGGATACGCAGGGGTTCGGACAGTGATACGGCGTATCGATCACATCAACGTTTCCATCTTGGCATTGTACTCTTTTTGTTCTTTCTTGCTTTCTTGCATCAGATGTACCAGGGTTTTTGTTAGTTCTAATACTGCATTGAACTTGTCCGTTCGGCCAGTTGTATTCGTAGAGCGTACAACAACTTTCACCATTGATGGTTCTGTGGTTAGATCGGAGAGAGGTCTCTTTGTCGCCACTTGTTCCAGTTATGTGACGAGGCTCGATACAAACCCCATGTTTTCGAACTTGTCCTGAAGTGCTGTTAATTTCGCTCGCGTCCGAGCTCGCTCGATAGAGTCCCCGTCTTTAGCATGATCTTCCCCTTCAAGAAAACTAGCAGCGAATTTTCGTTTCATCTCTTGAGTCTCGTCCATGATCTGTTGCATGGTGTGATTAATGGGGGAAAACTGTTTTCGCAGCTTCGCTCGCATCGCGCGACTCCTAAGCCCATCGATAAAAAATCTCTCCCGACTTTCTCATCTCGCTCGGATTTTACGAAAAGTCTGTAAAATCGACTGCGATATTCGGCGATGGACTCGAGGGGTTTCTGCACTCAGTCTTTGATCATGAAGAACACTTGTTCCGGGTGGATATAATCAAATCCGTGCAAAAAATCCCTTTCAAATGTCATAAGATTTCTCCAAAGGTAGGTGGCAAGGTGCTAAACCAATGATGTGCACCGCCCCCCAATCCTGTTGTGATATTAATCACGGCCTCATCATTATCGTATTGTTGTGCACGGAGTGTGACCAACCATGCTCCGACCAAGTGATGGGCAGGAGCGAATAGATACAAATCCGGTGGTGCTGCAGGCGCATGAACCCGGATTGGCTGCGCGCGAATAGGTCCAGTGGGGTTCTTGCAGCACATTAGCGTTTGGTGTTTGGTTAGCGTTCATGTCGGCTGCCTGTCGACCGACCGATCTACTTCGAGTTACTACTGGATCACGCCTTGGTGTGTTTCTCTGTCTAGACTGTCGTCGGCGTGGGCTCGGCAGGTCGGTCTAGTTGTTGAGCTGAATCACTTGCCAATCCTTGGTCTTGACACGTGTCGACTCCGATACGAACCTCACGGTCAGCGCGAATTCCTGTTTCGGAGTGGGAGGGGGGCACGGAAGTGCGTACTAGGGGTGTGCCAAGGATTTTAGAAAAGTGGGGGTGGAGTCCCAAGCCGAAACTAAGATCTCCAATGCAAAGTTTTGAAGGACAGAAATGTGAGTGGTTCCACGTAGGGCCTAATGTTTGGTTTTGCTTTTCTCAGAGTCGAGCAACTAGTTTTGTCGTCCACTTCGCTTGGGGCGGGTTTGTACTTGGTACATGGTGGGAACACAATGGGTGTCTCTCTGGGTAAACACCTGTTGCCGGTGGGTTTCACAAATCTCGGAATCTGATGTGCATGGCCTCAGTCGGAGGCTGTGCTCCCGACACTCAGCTTCATAGCGGGTTCGTCGTACAAATCCCGCGACTCGATAGGCGTTGTACTGCCGACACTCAGAGCACGACCTTCGGGGTCAGCATGGGCTATCAATTCCCAAGGGACAACCGCCAGATGATGATAGGGGAGAAGGAGATAGAATGGAGGGAAGTTGGTTTCAATCGCGATGAATCTCGAAGTGATGTAGTACTGGTAATTACGGGTGTTAAGGTAATCTGGGATTCGGGAATTCCGTCCGATGGCCCTATGAAAATCCCAGACACACAGCCGATCGCCCTCAGTTTGACAAGGGTAGGCTAGAAGCCTTAAGTTCGATCGGCGGAAGAGTTGTTCGTTCTCCCAGTATTCCCGATACTCGGGGTTCCTTAAATTGGCACGGTCAGTGATCCAGAATGGAACGCCAATATGACGATAATATCCATATTTGGCAAGAGGGACTTGACTCATACATTTGACCGTGCAAGGAGAGGTGATGTCGGGGACAGGTCATGCAGACACGCGTATACGTGATGAGTCTGATGACTGTCGTTCGTATAAGTGCGTGCACATAATCTGTTCCCACAAAATCCGAATCAACTTCACAAAGTTCGACGGGCAGAAGGAAAATGAGAGTAAGTAATATTCCCATACATCATATGTCAATCACGCGTGGATCGTACATGAGGAAGATCCAACCCATACTCATGCATATACGCTGACCGTAACCTACCTATTATACATGCATCTATCCCGACTCGGGTCTATTCGGGAAGACAACTTCTACAGGCTTGACACGAAATCACACGGTCGATCACTACTGCACATACAGAAACATGGGCATACCAAAATGGGCGGGATTACATGCACCTCTCCATACATCAGCAGGGCGTCCATCCCATATTCCTCATAATCCTTCGTCTCTACAATCGACAATCCTCCATGCAAGTCGTTCGAGTGATCAATCCATTTTGGAATTGTCATACATTTTGTATTGGAAAAGGAAGAGATGGGGGAGGGAAAGACAATTCATACATCAACAAAACAAAAAAAAATGGAAATCCGAGAGTGCCGCAAGCAAGGATGGTCTAGAACCAGAGATCAAAATTATACAGAAGATGCGAAGAGATAACCCCTACTTCAGCACCTCTCTCTCTCTCTCTCTCTCTCTCTCTCTCTCTCTCTCTCTCTCTCTCTCAGCACCTCTCTCTCTCTCTCTCTCTCTCTCTCTCTCTCTCTCTCTCTCTCTCTCTCTCTCTCTCTCTCTCTCAGTTCCAACAATGCGGGCAGTCCGTCGCCTCGGACCTATCAACAACCCGAAGTTATCATCCCACTTAGTCCGAGTATGCAAGCCAGGTTCGCCCGTGTGCCACATCCCTTCGCGGCCACACGTTAACCCCGCCTACCCAGCACCAGCTCGTCGGATCGTCCAACTCCCTACTCACCGTTCTGTCTCCGTTCGTTAGCCGATCCTCTCCACCTCGCTAACTCCCAAGTGTAGATTAGAGGGCGAATTAGTCGCGCTTGCGAGCTTTATAGCATTCGGTAGTCATGCAATATACTTCCGGATTATGCTGAAGCAAGAGGTAGAGAGGAAGAGGGAGTGCCTACGGGTGCATCACGAGGCCGCGGCGTGGGGAACGTAGCCGCTCTCCACGCATCGATCCAGTCATGCATCTGTGGGCCAATGAGGTAGCCGGGAAAGAGACACCGAGTTTCGCAGAAGAGATCAAGAAGGGAGAGGATTACACCTGTGCTTGCCAAGAAGGAGCAACAAGATATTACAGTTGCGATTAGAATTTAGGCGCGGCGGGGGCAGAGCGCAGGACAGGACGTAGCCATGCGCGCGCAGGTACTGAGTCTCGTGCAGTTACAGCCAAAAATTACAACGCTCCCAAATTCCTAGCCTAATTAAAATCGTTATTGCAAGGATAAATTCCGAGAACCTGTGCGGGTTCAAAATTCAAAAAGAAATTAAAAAAAATCCTCCGTGTGGTGATCGCGCCAAAAATTCCCCTCCCCGCAACAGAACAAGAAAGAAGCTATGGCAACATTTATTTCTGCGCCCGCTAAGGCGCGATCAATTACCAACCGTCGTGGGACCAACCTCTTTCCAAAAGACGGGGGCATTCATGTAATTGGGCGGGCCCCTCCCAATTAACCCCCGAAATACAGTCGCGCAGAAAGTTGTGCGTTTGCGGAAAGTAGTTTGTCACACCCTCCCCTTATGAGCATCACCAGTCTTTGCTCAATGCCACTCGGGGGGACCAACGGGCATATCTCTAGGTGGCGGGTGCCAAGCTTGCCCAGGAAGGTGCATGATGCGAATGGGGATTGAACCTAAGACCTCCTGAATGCCACTCTCGTGCCCTGCCAACTGAGACTGTCGCCCTTTCAAAAAAAAAAAATAATAATAATAATAATAAATAAAAAAAAATCCTTTGAGTACGGATCCGGGCCGCCCGGCCGACCGGCGCCTGCGCGGGGGAGGTCCTGGGCGGCCTGGCCGGGCGGGCGGCCCAGTTAGGGGCCGGGCACCCCCAGCACACCTCGTCAGGGGGGGTGTTCAGTCCCCGAATCGCCGTGGGCTGTGTCCCCAGGGCCTACGGGTCCGACCAGGCCTGAAAAAAGGCGCGTTGGGCCCGTGAGGCCAGCTTTTTTTTTTTGAAATTGTGACGGCCCTCCGGCCGTCGATCATCCATGATCGACGGCCAGAGGGCCGTTTGATGTTTGGAGGGAAAACGAAGCCCGTTTGAACAGTCGACTGGCTGCAGCGGCCTGCGTCGGCTGTCCAAACGGGGCCTTGGTCTTCCCCCGCCGGCGCAGTTCGTCGTTCAGCCGCCCGTCGTCGTGGAGCCGCCCCTTGTCTCCCCCGTCGTCGTGGAGCCGCCCGTCGCCATCGCCCGGGAGCTTCACTCCCCCGTTGCCGTGGAGCCGCCCGTCGCTGCAGCCCTCGTCTTGGAGTCGCCCGTGCCGTGGAGCCGCCCGTCGCCCGTCGCCGTGGAGCCGCCCGTCCCCCTCTCATCATCATCATTTTCTTTTTCTTCTTCTTCTTCTTCTTCTTCTCCTCTTCCAACTATCTTCTTTTTCTTTTTTGTTTTTGTTCCATTCGTCAGCGATAGGCCGCGAGATAAACCACAGGTAAGAAAAAAAAAAAGAAAACTGCTCCCTCCTTCTTCTTCTTCTTCTTCTTCTTCTTCTCTCCTCCTCCTTCTCTTCC